GGTGGGACGTAAATTCGAACCCGTGACCCTCAGCTTGCGAGTTGAGCGCCCTAACTACCTGGCCATTCTTCGAGTAATTTAAATATTTGTATTCACTATTTATTTTTGTACTTCTGTTAATTTTATTTGTAATTTATTTCATTTTGATATCAAAATCATGTAATGTAAAGGGTTCATTTCGTATTTTGATTTCATGTCAAATAATTAATTCTATTTTGTTTTAAGTTTAATTTTTTATTAAAAAGGTCTTGTTTTGTATTATGATGTTTTTGCAAGATAAAGTACCAAGTTCTGTTTTCATCATTTTATTGAAATATAATTTTAGTGTTTTAGTAGTGTATTTTCATTAATGTTAAAAAGGTTCATCAAGATGTATCGTAGTGAATTTTACCTTAAGGTGCTGCATTATTTTATCTTCTAAGTAGTATTTTTCGTGAGTATATATATATATATACATATTTTCCCCTTTTGTAAATATACAAGTACTATTTTTAGAGTGCTTTTTAGTTTTTCCTTTGTGTATATTGCTAATTGTGTCATTATTTGTTGTATGTTAAAGTTTTTGGTTTGTAATATGTTAAAGGATATTTTTATGATGTGAGATTGTAATTTATATTATGATTATTGTCTCTATGCTAAAGGGTTGAATTTGAGTTTTCTTTTTTCCTATTCATTTTGTGCAAAAGTGCCATTTCATTTTATTGTTGTTGTTTTTTGTGACATATGATGCCTCCAATGAAAATATGGATTAATCATTGTTAAATAGTATTTTAATTTATATCATTAGACAGATCATTGTGAAAGAGTATGTTAGAATTATCATATTATAAGTGTATGATAAGATTTTGCGTATTGAACACTCCAAAGACCAAAATAAAAATATATAATTGAAAAGCCTATTTTGTGTTGTATTTCACCATTACCTTATATATATGACCAATATAATTTTTAGTAGTCCTAATAATATTATACACACACAATTAATCAGGGAGCATGAAATCTACGGTCTTTCATGCATCAAACATCTAGTGTTTGTAAGTTATTTCCGGTTACTTTCAATAACCGGATTTGTTAGTGTTATATTGTTAAGTTTCAATTTTTGTTATGGTACGTTTTATTATAAAGGTTATTTTGCATTTTTAGCCTAGTATGTGAATTTAACAATGATTAATAGACTAGTTATAACAACTATTCTTTTCGGACAGGCAGACCACAACAGCAAAATCACACGGCAAGTGGAATTTTTACGAGATTATAAATTTAAATTAAGTTTATTTCATGAAATTTTAAAGTACGCTTATTTGAAGTTCCTACAAGTTACAACCAAAATTAATAAGGAAAGCAAATTTATTAGGCAACTGTTCAGCGTTTCCAATTAACCAAGGAAATATATGAGACTGTAATAAATATACTTATATTCAACAGGAATATGAATTAAATAGAACGATCTTCTCGTCAAATTTAAGGCCTGATGCTAGAAATGTCATTTGCTGCTGCTCTTCACTGAGCTTCTTCAGGAAAGGGTCCCGCCATAACTGCCTTGACGAAAGCTAAAAGTACATTTAATAAAATAGACAGTTCTTCAACTACCATTAACTTAAATCTTTTTTTCTTTACATAAGTTATTTTCAACACATTAATTGGAAACTTTACATATTTTCTGATTTTTTTACGATGAAATTTGTTGCATAGTTCATTTATGTTATCATATACTTTTATATATTATTCAAGAATTATAGCATATATTTCTATTAAATAGCCGACAAATTTTAGATATAAATATATATTGTTTTGCAAAGTTAGACTATGTAGTTATTAATATATCATATTCGAACACTTACTTGAAGCAAAATTGATTAATTCAAGAAGGTACAATGGATTGGTATGAAGATCATAAGAAACGTTATTCTTCTTTCGATGTATTTCAACTGAATGTATATATATATTCTTAAATAACAAAGTGACAATTTTTAATCCCTGGTTTAAAGTATAGAATACGTTTATTAAGAAGCTATGTAATGGATACTAATTAAAGTACTTTCGACGTGATATGGTGATTGTACTAAAAACTTACGTTCATATTTAATGAAACCATCCTCGTCTTCTGTGCCAGCACAACACTTCACAATTTCATCAACCTCAGGATCTGAAAGCCTCTCACCTGTAATAAGAATTTAGTATGTAGCGAAATAAAAGGAGAAAAAAGAGAGAGAGAGTATGACTCCGCCTTTAAAATTGACGCTTGGTATGCTTATTGGCACAAAAAAACATATTTTATGTGAGCATCTTAAAACTTTGCATGCAAATGGCAGGCTCAAACATTTCTAACGCGGGTAATATACGTGACTGATAGTTTATTCGAGTTTACTCAAACGGCTTTGGAAAAAGTTATAATCAAAATAAAAAAATCCGTTACGAAAGAGAGAGAGTCTGAGATTTGAAATTGACAATATTTTCACTTACAGTTGTGGCAAGTTTGTTCCTCAAAACATGCTTACTTAGCAAAAATATAAATACCCCTATCATGAACATTCGAAAGCTGCTGGTTCGAGGAATTTTAGATTTCATCGGCTAAGTTAAATCAATTGAAAAAAATGCCGCCCAAGGAAGTGTGAAGTGTTGCATACATCATTGAGTATACGTGTGTGTGTATTCTCAGCTAAATTTAGCACTTCGATTTTCTTCATCCTTGGATTGTATAAGAAATATATATACTTATATTATCTTTGAAACATTAAGTAACAACGTTAAAACTATTACCATTTAAGAACACTATTTTCAACAAATACCAGTCCTCAGCCGATCAGCTATATATAGATCTACTCGGATTACAGACATATGCATGAATATAATATATTCAAAGTGACATCCTGCACACTTCAATGGGCCTAAACTGTAGACCCTACGGTTCAGGGTTCAGAGTCAAATTCCACTTTTCAGTCAGACCGTTAGACAAGAGTAGTCGAACAGTTGACGATAGGTGCTGTTTACTAACTCCCTTTCCACTAGTTTATCAGTTCGAAATTATGGACAGCTATACACAGATAGTCTTTGTGTTGTTTTGCGCGTAAATTCTAAACAAATAAACTAACCCACTTTCAATAAATTGATACATAAAGCTCTATTGGATTAACATTCTCCAACACAAGCCAAGCTGGACTGATGACACCACCCGAAACTGTGGTTCTCAGTTTGTCATGCTATGGGTTTTGTTTTACCTAATGTTGGCTAGTAAACATTAATGATATTAGATTTGTTTCATGGTTTGTGTGTGTGTGTGAGGGGGGGGGGATCTGAACATTTTTTGCACATCTCAGTAATGAAAAATATCACACAGGTTTTATACAAAAAGGGAAAACTTAAGTGAATGTAATAAATTACGTTTTGCGATTTTATTGGTATATAAATTGAAAAAGAGATAAGCTATTAAATATATGTTTGAATATCTACTTATGTTTGGATGGTTAGATTAACAAACATAAATAGACTGGTTTCAATTAATAAAGAGTATTGGAAACTGGTATACCTAGTGAAAGAAGTACATGAGCCAGCTCAGCTGCTAACATGGTACCATTTTCTGATTTATCATAAACTTTCAGACCTTCCATGAAGTCCGCATGTGTTCCTTGTTCCTTCTCCTTCCTCACCTGACTGTAGATTGGTAAGAATTCGTCAAAAGTGAGCATCTTTTCTCCTGAAATTAGATAGGTTATAAACTTCAATTTCTGCGCTCTATATAATTATTCAAGACCAATTTTACTTGTGTCTACTAAGAAGAAAAACGCGCGCACACAGGTTTGCTTAATTTAATGCATGGATATTTTCAATATAAGGTAATATAAAAAGTTAAAACGTTTTTCTATAACTCAAGTATAAAATAGAGTAATTTGAATCCTAAGAACTAGCTTTGATAATTTTAAACATCTCAAAATATTTATTGTGATATTAGGGTGAATTGTGTTTGTGAATTTTTCTTCTTCTCAGTAAATACAACAAATTATATAAAAGTTTAAAACAGTGTTTGCTTGCAGTTAGCACAAAGTTACACTAAGAGATATATGTTCTCTGCCCACCACGGGTATCGAAGCCCTGTTTCTAGTGTTGTAACTCCGCAGATATGCTGATGGATGGCGTTTAAAACCGATATACAGAAAATTGTTGTAATGTTTAAATTGTCTCCAAGCTACTTCTCAAATGAAACAGAGCCGAAATGTGTTAACTTTTGGGTGTATCTATAATATTACAAAATATAACTTTTTAAAGAACGTTATTATTCCATCTTGTAAAAAGTATCAGTGTACATCTATAACTTACTTACAAAAAACGTGTATTACCTGTACCATAATTCATTTACTGTATTTGAGAAGCAAAATAATCATGAAAAAATTCAAGTTCGGTTACCCCAAATTAGTCAGGTATTCTTACCTTTCTTTTTTGTGCCACCATTTTTGGTGATTGTCGCGATAGTTGGGCGAGTGTCCAGCGACCGAAGTAAATCTCCAAGATCTTTACAGTCTATCTTACCCTGTCCTTCGAAATCATAGATTTCAAAATGATCTCGGGCTTCTACAATAATAATAATAAAAAAGATGCCGTTTTAAACACGTGACCTTTCTCTATGAGTTTACTCTGATTAAATTAGAACACTATTTCTAAATATGTATAGCGTTAATATATTTCCATTAGGTAACTGATTGTTGATTTATAAGATTTTTCAATTTCACTGAATTACCTTAATTTAGTTGTCTTAAACTCTAAAGGAAACAAATGATTATTTTTAGTCGTGAAGAGAATTTGACGGTACCAGCTAACAATGAATACGATGTAGTTTCTATTAACCGCATACATAATTCATTACTCTATGGAAATATTATATATGTTGTGTGAGAAAAAACAAGCTTTCTAATAGTAACATTAAAATTGCTTTTAGCGTCTTATACTTCCAATCAAGAGAACTGGTTTGTCGTTAGGCTAGACGTGGCCTCGTGGTTAGCGTGCCAGGCTGCGGATCAAAGGCTTCAAGGCTTGAGATGTGATCCTTCATTATTCTACGGAAATATTATATATGTTGTGTGAGAAAAAACAAGCTTTCTAATAGTAACATTAAAATTGCTTTTAGCGTCTTATACTTCCAATCAAGAGAACTGGTTTGTCGTTAGGCTAGACGTGGCCTAGTGGTTAGCGTGCCAGGCTGCGGATCAAAGGCTTCAAGGCTTGAGATGTGATCCCGCTGAACACGCTCCTCACTTCCAACCGCAGATACATTATAGCCATGTCAGTCAATCCAGCTATTTGATTAAGACATGGCCTGATCACTTTTTCATGGCATGTAATAGCTACAACTCATGTATTAAAACTTGCTTCTTTTAATTCCATACGTTACGTTGTATGCAGGCAGTATTTGTAGTTAAAATTCCGTCAAAAATATAGTCAAAATATCTTATGATCTTATCTTATCTTACGTTCACATTTTATGTGAATTTATTTGTTCATTTGTAATTAAGCACAAAGCTACAGAATGGGCTATCTGTGCTCTGCCCACCACGGGTATCGAAACCCGTATTCTAGCGTTGTAAGTCCGCAGACATGCCGCTGTGCTACTGGGGGCTTTTATGTGAAGATTAGCTTCACATTAAAGTGTAAGCTTCCCAAACAACGTTTTAGTGTATGTATACATCAACCTATCTACATTATTGAATAAATTTAATGTAACCAGATGAATTAAAATTCTGTGTAAATCGGTGAAAATGTATGTTTGCCCAAACTAAAGCACTTGTTTCTTTCTAAAGAAAAAGCTAAAATAAAGGCAGGTATTTTATTTTATTAAATTAAGATGTTATCCGGCGTCCAACTACTACAAACATTTGGGTAATCACAAGAAGAAATCTAAAGTATGGCATTATTTGCATCACTAGTAAACTGAACATATTCAAGTTAGCTTAGAATTTTTACGATGTTTATATTAAGAAAACTAAAAGTTTAGAAATAGGATAACTCGGCGAAGTAGCATCAAACTTGGAAATACGCAGAGCAGACACCACGGAACATACGCTAGCACCAAAAAAGGTGGCGAAAACGAAGAGAGCGCTAAAACTATTTATAGAAAGAAAGAAATGGAAAAACTCACTTCGAAGAGTTTCTAGAGTGAGGAAGCAGCGACAGCTAAACCAGACAAGAAAACTGGCGTTTGCCTCTATTGTTTCGTCAGGCTACATTCTAGTGAAACACGTCAAATAGACTAAAAATAACGAAACAAAACAAGATTGGCGGGAACAGCAGTGCTAATGCTTTCCATGACTTAGAATGCTTACTTTTACTTCCATGAATAAACGCTATTTATAGAAGAAGAAAAAACTGTTATCTAGCCAAGCTACATTATGTTACAGTTATCTTTCCTATCCAAAGGAAAGAACTCTACCTCTTGCTTCATTAGGAAAAGCAAAGAACTCTAATTCAATTTCTTTAGCCTTTTTTTTTCTTTTTTAAACTTAAGCTTTAGAAACAATATGATTTGAGTTTACAAAGTGCAGTTAAATATTCTGTATCTCTGGAATAAAACTTTAAGAACGACTAAAGATATAATTAAAGAACTTAAGACAACAACTCATTGTTATTACATTTCATGATGTCACGTTCATCCCAGTGTAGCATTATGTCGAGCCTGGCATGGCCTGGTGGTTAGGGCGTTCGACTTCCAGTATGTGGGTCGTGAAATCTAAACCCATTGCCGAATATATTCACCCTTTAAGCCGTGGGGCATTATAATATAACAGCCATTATCAGTAAAGGTTATGCTAGTAAAGGTTAGCGCAAAAGATGGTGGTGGGTGGTGTTGACTAGCTGCTTCCTATCAAGTCTATCACTCCAAAATTAGGAACGGCTACCGCAGATAGCCCTAGAATAGTTTTTTGCGAAGTTCAACAAACAAACAAGCATTGCATAGATATGTTTTGTGTTTAATCCTGTTCAGTCACGTGTAACAGTTTCAAACTCATACTAAAATCGAACCTGAGAGTTTGAAATTTGACTTTTGATGATAAATACAAGGAAAACTATATTTTCAAAAATAGTTATAATTCAGTAACTGTGAATAAATATATTCAGTTCTTGGTATGTTAGAATAAAATGGGATGCTGAAAACAAACAGCAGGTTATTGCGTTCTCATAGTAATTGCATGTAATACAGAAGCAAAATAGGGAAGTATTGGGAAAAATTATATTAACAAACCAAAAGTATGCTTTAAATCAAACTAAGTGTACGTTGCTAAAAAAAAAAAACAGTTAAACAATGTAATCGGAAAGAAGAGTATATATTTATTGATTTGGTTCAAACAGACAAAAATGTGCAGACACTTTAATTTCACGAAAACAACACAACAGATAAAGTACCAATACCATTGTATCGAACATTCACTTCACTGCTTCACAAATAAACTAAATTAGTAAATGATGCCTTTCTGTATATTGTGTAATTTTAGTCGTAAATCAAATGGGCACTATTAAAATGATAATAATTGCGTACTAGAGGTTGGTTGCATAGATATCAAATTTAATGTTGGAATAAGAATAGTAGTAGTAGAAATATTTTGCACAGAATAGGCCCAAGCACTAAGAAAATATAAATATGTTATATTAATTGTGGTAAACAAGAGCTGAGAGAAAGATTTCACTCAAAATAATAGTCATATAATTATTATAGTCTATGCCATTGGTTTTGATATGCTACAAATAAAAAAACGCACTGAATTTACTACAACTGACAAAAAATATCAATATCTACAATCACTCTAACGTAACTGCAACACTTAAGGAAGTATAATTATAAAGATATTTTTTATGTCATGTGCAACGAATTATAATTATATCCATTCTTTAACATTCAATGCTGAAGCTGTGGAATCACGTCAAAGTGACTGGACATAGAGAAATTTAGTCCATTACAGCCAACTATTTATCAGTTAAGCAATATGAATATTATTGTCAAATTACATTACATTTTGTTAACTCTAAAGACCAATGATTCTGAGGTTTATAACGCGAAAGTACTGCTGACGAGAATAATTTATAAATGATTGGCTTATGGTAAATTATAATTGAAATTTGATATAAAATTTCTTTCTTTCTTGTACATTGATTGGTCAGCTGTACAGATTTAAAATTCAAGGTTCGAATCCACGTAGTGGACAGAGTGCAGATGGACCATTGTGCAGCCCCTGCCCTAAATAAAAACAATCGTATTTTTTTCGGCAACGACACTTTTCAATTACCAGGGCTGTACCGTGGATAGTGCAAGAGGTGCACCGATCGTCTGATTCACTAACATTGCAGACGACTGGGTTAGGGGAGAGGGCATTTAATTTGAATGCTGCACAGAACGCCATCAAACATCGGTACGGCACTGTCTATTACCAATGCTGTAGACTAGAGAACGAACACATTTTTATATTTTATCAAAGGTACGAATACAAACATAAGTAAAATGTGACATAAAAATTTCAGTCATTTCTGCAAATATTTTAGCTCTAGTTTTTTATAAATAATAGAGCAATAAAAAAACAGCTAATTAAAACACTATGAAAACAATAGTGTTTTTTTTAAATTTACAACAAAAATACTTGGGACTAAGAACGACCTAAACAACAATATTAAATTGAGCAAGTTTTTCAGTATTTTGAGGTTATAAATTAATTGTTATTAGATGTTCTATGTATATATTCTTACGGAATCGTATTGTAAATGTACTGCGAATTAAAAGTATCTTATTTAAGATATGTAATTATGTAATTCAATATGTTAGATTCAGTGTTATTAAAAATGAAAACTTTTCTAAAATTTAGAACTCATAGGAAGAATTTCAAGAGAATACTTACTCTCTATTTCTACCGGCTTTAAATCTGTCTGAAAAAAGAAATGAATCAAAAAATTTTAGCACATTTTTTTTCAACTAAATGAAACCCGTAAAAACACTGTAATACAATGTGATAATGTTTTTTGTTAGCTTTTTTACGTTAAATTAGACTTTTGTTATTGTTAAATCAGTGCTTTTGAGTAGCAACACTACTGAAAATAATTGATGTAATTAAAATACTATCAATTTCTTTATATATATATATATATACTACTAGTATATATGTTAAGTAAAGTTAGATCGAACTTACCATTGTAGCTTCCGTAGGTTTAAGTGTAATCACAAACGTACTCTCTTTGTCACTGGACCTCGACTCACTAAATAACTTAGATCTTAATGCCCCTCTTTCCCTTTGAAGGTTTGTTACACCAGATGTCGCTGTTGAGTTATCCTGATTTTCTTACTCTATATAGTGTTTTATATCATGTTTATATTTCACTTTTATGTCATAAATAACTTATAAAATATGTAGTATATAATTTATTTAAATAAAGAATGTATTATTAAAAGTGATATGAATAAAAAATAATTAGCTGAATTATGTTGCTAACGAGATTAGGTGCTGTTCCGACTGCATGAAAGCGTTGATGATTAGTTTTACGCAAGATAGGCTTCGTATAAGTGCGTAATACTATGTCTAAGTCATAATAGGCCTAACAGTAACACAATACTGGGTTGTTTTTGTATGCAACTTGCAAGTATTATTTCAAGCCAGTATCTACAGTTAAAATAACTTTGCCAGTTCGAAAGTAGGCAGTAATTTTGGTAATAACGATATAGGACTGAAGCTGATATTAACCCCGGGTTGTGTGCCTTTATACTTATAGCTTATAAAGTTATATCGTTAAATTATGATATTTACAAAGTAACGTTTGAACTTCAATTCAATTCGTTTGGGCTGTTTATGAATCTGACTCAAGGCTGGCTGAGTTGGACACAAGCGTTCGTAGAGGCAAAGTTTCCGCGAATATTTCTAATCTAACTCTTAATATCGTTGTTATCTTAGTTATAACTTGTATTGCTTGCCTTAAAATTAAATTAATGCTTACTTATGTTAATATTATTACTATTAGTACTACTGCATACTGAAGCTTTATTGTAAACAATGTAATGAAGTAACAACTTTTAGTTTTAATAAATACTAGTTCATTTGTGACAAGTTACCATATTTGTCAGTGTTACTGTTAACACTAATGGTAATAATAGTTAAGTGTTACACAGTAAAACTAAACCTTATGATAACTAAGCAAAAGTACCCATCCCAAATGATGGGAAAAGTGTAAGCTAATCTATCAATTTAAATTATTTCATGGACTTTAACAAGATTAATTGTGTTACACTCTTGGTTTCACTCAGAGCCAAAGCTCTGAGCTACTTATACCAACCAACACGAAAAGTAATTGTTGAGCATTTCAGTCATGCTATGAGCCACTCAACAATATCATATGGTAAATCTATATTTTTATTCTTTAAGTTACATCACATTTTGAAATGTGAATGATAGTGTATTTAATTCCTAACAATTTAATGTAGAATATCCTGCTTGCAAAATAAAATTTGGCATCAACATTATTCACACCAGTTCTCCCATCATTTCAAAAGTGAATGTTGAGTATTGGCTATGCATAGCTTTTCAAATGGGATAAAGACAAATGCTTGGACAAACACTATGGTTTGCAATATATGTAAGACTCGTATAATAATTTAGGAATGAAAATGCTATAAAATAAAATTTAAATATTTTATAAATCCCTAAGGCACTAAAACCTCACAAAATTATAAATATAAAGTGAATGAATCATACTTTTGCTACTACAGTAGAGTACCAGTTCACAAGATAATAGATGTCACACACACATTATCAGTGAATTATGTACAGGTACTTGTATTTCTGGTAATAGTTTATTTTTATTAATAATGAAGACTGGATGTGTTACTAATCTAAGATGTATATCGTATAGGGTCTGAAATAAGCATTTATAATACTCATTCAATGAAAGTAGACCTATGCAATTTTAAATTGATGGCTTTAATGCTAAGTAAGTTATGCTATTTATATTGACTGTTTAGGAAAATTTCCTGAGATGCTCCATTACTGAAGAGGTGGTTTCATGTAACCCTTTAATAGTGACTTTCACATGGTAAACTTCAGATGCTAAAGAATGGGAAGGAGAAAACATTAAAACTTCAGCAGGTATGCACCTTTAAATGAAAATGTGACTAAAGTATAGTAACAAAGGTATCTTGCTAAAATGGCAGCTTGATTTACTTTGTAATACCTTGAAGTGAAATTGAACTTTTAGAGATATAAACTGAGGATCCTGTTTCTGTTGCACTCATAAATCTTTTACTTTTACTACCCCTCATTCATGAGGAAAAAGTTTTCTGCTGTTATGATTATTTAGCTGATATTAAATTGTACAATTATACCAAAAATACCCAAGATTTGTTTCTTTCCTTTTTTTGGTTAGAGAAAATTGTATTCGCTTTAATATGTTGAGCACCAAAATTATAAGTATCATCATGATTAATACATATTTCATATACTGGCCATTTACTACTATGTTATAAATTCTACTTGTGACAAAATGGCTCTGCAGTGAAAAGCTATTTGATTGTGTTTTATTTCATTTTCAAGGAATAACAAATAGGAGTGATATGATACATCAGGCTCATCATATGATATGTTTTATGATACACAAAATCTCCTCCACATCTCTGTTTAAATAACTCTAAAATAATTGTCACTTTTTAGATCAACACAGCCATTTCAACAAAAACATTTATTTACCATCAGAGAATGTGTCACTTGCTTGTATTTAAACCAGTTATACCCCCTTCTCCCCACCTCTCCAAAAAGGTTAAGATATCATAATTTTACATAAGTTTTTTAGCTTACTAGACCCAGCTGTAAGGACCAAACATCAAAACTGGTTCTTCACTCATCTAGGCAAAAATTTTAAATATGTAACAAAAACTAAGCAAGATAATGTTCTTCAGAAAAGCGAACATGTTTAGCTTCAACTGATCTCTGTTCAGTTACAGACCCAACATAGAAAGGAACTAAAAGTATTTTTTTATACATCCAGGGGAAAAAGAAACTAAGCAATATGTAAAAAGCAATCACCTAATTAACCAAATGTTTGTTTAAAAAATCAAAATGTCCACATTTTTTATAACTTTAAGGTGTGATCTTTGTAACGTAACAATGTTACTTGCTGTTGAAAACATCCGCTTACTAGGTAACGAAGTAGCAGAGACATACAAATGTGTCATATTCACTTTTGCAGGGCATGGACAAGTAGTTTGGTTAATTATCTACCAGTTTAGAGGGTTGTTGTTTAGTGAAATACAGTGCTTGGATTTGTATCATGTATTTTCTTTTCCCACTTTGCAGGATGAGAATTTGTAACATAAATGCCACCAAAAGGAGATCTTCGAGTGTAGTCTTTTTTTCTTTTTTTTATAAAGGGGGGGGGGGGTCCATCACATCCTCTGGTTCTGGCTTTACAACTGATGGTTCTGAATGGCCTTGGTCGGAATACTTTGTAAGAGCAGTTTTGATGGCTGTCTTTTCAAGCAACTGATAATCAAGTATCTTGGGACTGACATTTTTCATTTCCTTCTCTAGCCTGTTCGTGGCTCTGGAAGTACACTGGTCCACACGTGTATTATTTTCTAGTGAGGACACATTGTTCAGTGCTTGAAGTTCTATGGGCACATTTTGTAAAAAAGTTACTTTCTCAAAATAAATGTAAATTATTAAAGTACTGAAAACTAAAGAAAATGACTAAATACATTTCATTAACAAACTTTCAGTTTTAAACGTCATGTCAAAAATATGTGATGGTATACAAATTTATTAGAATAACTTACTTGAGTTAAAATACATGTTTTCATAGTCTGTAGAATACTAAATGAAATTTCCCAATTAAAAACCATTTCAGTATTTATTTCATTTAGCCTAACATATAGAGCTAATAGATTGAAATTATTATGTTCAGGCTATATTATAGTGTGTGTGTGTGTGTATATATATATATATATATATATATAAATATATAGTAATTACTATAATTATATATTCTAGTTATATTAAACGAAAAATAAAATACCAAGATAA